GAGAATCGCAGTGACGCTGGGACAGAGGGGCACATCTGGGCCTGCCAGCCCTGGGGTCAGGGTGGTTGTGCTCAAGACAAGATCCTTGTAGGGAATGAAACACGTTTTTATTTGAAGAAGCCACCCTCCTGTTCATGATTCAGTGCTAGTGACGCAGGACTACCGTTGAGAGCAGCCTGTTCAAGTCAGATCCTGAATTTCCTAGTAGCAACAGGCTTATTTCATATTTGTGTCTCGGTGTGGAGTCTTGTGATGTCTTCTTCTTCTATTTTCAATCTGTTCTGCCTTTTTTAAAATAAAGACTATTTTTTTGCATTTGGTAAGAGTTGTGCGCGCTGATTGTATTACATTTCTAAAGTGTCGAAAAAGGCAGTCTGCAGAGAGGATGTTCGGTCAGGACGGGTCTTGCTGCGGGTCGGTTTCTGCAAATTACTTGCTTAAAATCTGTTCTATAAAAGAAGCACTTTTGTTTTGGAGAGAGTCTGTGGGACCCAGTCTGCTTTCCTAAGCCATGAGGTGAAAGGTTCCCTTCCTGGGAAGGGCTACTGGTTGGAGATGCCACTGGGCTTTCCCTTGACCGATTCCGAATTCTTAGTCTGATGCAGGGTAGCTTCTATGGAAAATGCGTCTCGCACGAGGTAGATGACAGATTATTATGAGCTTGTGCCCTGTGAAGAGCAGGGCTGCTTGGTGTACTGTAGAAAGTCTTCTGCTCTGATTCAGGAGTGAGTATTGATCGGACGGGGGTCTGGGAGTCCTGGACTGATCTCTCCAGGGGGAGGGCAGTCCTGCAACCCACCCCAGGCTGCTCTGATGCCACACCCATCTGTATTCTGGCAAAGGAGCTTCGTTTGTCAAGTTGTCTCTTGGTGACGACGGTCCCGAACCATGTGACGGCACTCTGGGATGAGTAAGACCGGCTGTGCCTGTGGAGGGGCCAGAGAGGCCAGCCGTGGGTCCTGGGATTCATGAAAACTTGGCAGCGGATGCTGAAAGTGTTTTGTCTTGTGTGTGAAACATCGAGGCTGTATTGACAACGTGCGCTCTCTTGTGATGCCATCACCTCTGAGCACATAAATGACGGAAGTGCTGTCCAGGTGTACAGTATGTCTATCAAATATAAATTTAAAGCTATAATTGAACCTTTTCTATATACAATCTAACAGCATAACTTAATGCCTTTTGTACCGGTAAGGTCAGCAAACAAAATATCCCCTTCACAGGAGGACTCTGTTCACAGTGTTGTCTGCTTCTGCAACTCAGGTTCTCAACAGCAACACTAAGTTCACAGTCCTCCTGTAGGGCCCTACACAGCTGCTGTAAGAACAGCTGAGGGTGTGAGTCTAGGTGTGATTCAGTCACTCGTGCA